AAAGTCGTCGTACCACCAGCAACACGCGCAGCCGGTAACATGCACGAGCATGTTTTAACGCCCACGACCAGCGCAGCCAAGCCCATAATGCCAGCCGGCCCAGTGGCCGGGCCGAGCCCGGCGTGGCAATGGCGGCGCCACAAAACGGCTACCGCACAGCGCACCCGCGCATGTTGGTCCCTACCAGCTTGCGAAGACCATTGGCCGGCAGCATGGGCAAAGTCAAGGTTGCGCTGGACACACGGACAAACAAGCGGGTAAGTGCGCTGCTATGATTGCGCTGTCTATTTAAGTGACACTACCCATGATCCATATGATTCATGATCCATGATTTGGTGCACGCTGCACGCCACACGCTACGCTAATGCTAACACACACCCACACAATTCATTTGCCGATTTTTGCTCATGCCGTAGGTTGCCGCCAAGATAATCCCGCTCCAGCAGCTCGACGCGCCCATCTACTTTCCAATTGGCGTCGACACCACGACGGTGCCGCTACCACGTTCTGGCGGACAGGCTGGCGCTTCGGGCCGACCCGCGTACACCGGCCCAATTGACCCTGCGGCAGAGCCGTGGCGGACTTGGCTCACGAGCCTGGCCCTCGAGAGCTACCCCGACGTGGCGGCAGCGGCACAGATATCCGTGCGCATCCAGCGCAAGCTGCGGCTCCTGCAGCCGCGCGAGCGGTACACAACCAAGGAGCGCGAGCGGCGCGAGAACAAGGACATCCGCATCGTGCGCGAGGTTGCGATCAACAGGCTGCTGCACCACCCGCACATCTGCATGCTGCACGATGTCATAGTGCACCCGAACCATTACTACATTTTTCAGGAGCTGGTCTCCGGTGGCCAGATGCTTGACTACATTATCAGCCACGGCCGCCTGAAGGAGAAGCACGCGCGCAAGTTTGCGCGCCAGATCGCGTCCGCAATTGACTACTGCCACCACAACTCGATCGTGCACCGCGACCTCAAGATCGAAAACATCCTGATCTCGGCCAACGGAAACATCAAGCTGATCGACTTTGGTCTGTCCAACCTGTTCTCACCGCGCTCGCAGCTGTCGACCTTCTGCGGCTCGCTTTACTTTGCCGCGCCAGAGCTGCTGAATGCGCAGCCGTACGTCGGCCCCGAGGTTGACCTGTGGTCATTTGGCGTTGTGCTCTACGTGCTTGTCTGTGGAAAGGTGCCCTTCGACGACCAATCGATGCCGGCTCTGCACGCCAAAATCAAGCGCGGACACGTCGAATACCCGAGCTGGCTGAGTAACGAGTGCAAGCACCTTCTCGCGCGCCTGCTGGTTGTGCTGCCCCCACGCCGCGCGACCATGAGCGAAGTCGTGCGCCACTCGTGGATGACCAAGGGCTACGTCGAGAACCCGCATATCAACTCGTATTTGCCGCCCCGCATTCCGCTGCTGGCACCGGAGCAGATCGACCGCGCTGTTGTGCGTGAGATGTCGCAGTACATTGGCTTTGGCTTTGGCTCGGAGGAGGAGATTCGCCTGGGCCTCGAGGCTATTCTGACAGAGGACTGGTACCGCAGCTGGGTCAAGGATGCCCTTGCCCCTCACATTGATGATGTGCGCCAGCAGATTCGCGAGCAGGCTGCACAGGCCCAAGTCAACGCTGCCTCTGCTGCGCATGCCGCAACGCAGCGCGCGCCCTCTAGCTCGCAGTCGCTTTCTGTTTTCAACGCTGGGTCGTCCGGCGTTACTCTGAACACCTCAACGGACCCTTGCTCTTCGTCGACCTTTTCTGGAATTCCTGGAACGGCGGCGGTGGCCGCAACATTGGCCCAGGCAGGCGGCAGTGTCACCGGAGCCCTTGGAGGCGCCAACGCCCGCCTGGAGCTCGGCAAGCAGCCAGACGCTGGCGCCAACGAGTCTGTACGCAAGCGCTCCAGCTTTTGGAAGCGCAGCAGCACGTTTATATCTGGCGGGCTTGTGCGCACAGGCCAAAAGCCAGCCTTCGACACGCCCGCTACTGGCTCGCAGGTCCAGCCAGGCGCAGCGGTGGAGAAGAGCCAGCTCGGCCAATTCCGCGTTCTGTCCGGCCGCATATTCAACGAGGGGAAGCATGCTCTGGGGTCGGGGAACGGCACCGGCAACAGCGCCGACCGTGAGTACCCGGTTCTTCCACTGTCAGCGCACTCGCCCCGCATGGTTTTGGACTCTGCCTCCGGAATGGTCTGCATCTGCAAGGATGGAAAGCTTGCGCCACCTGACACCGACTGTGCCGCAATCCAGCGGGACTATTACGACCTTGTGGCCACCGACCCGCTGCTGAGCATATACTTCCTCGTCAAGGAGCGGCGCGAGCGCGAGGCCCGCGGCGTTGCTGATCAGGCAGAGGCGAATCCATATGCGCCGGCCCATCCATCCGGCCGCCCTCTCTCCCACGAGCAGCAGCCGCAGCCGCAGCCGCATCCTGTTGCATCAGTGGAGGCCATCAACCTGCCGCCTACTGTGGCTGCAAAGCCCATCGCGCGTGGTGCAAACAGCTCTAACGAGACGTGGGTCAAACTCGAGCGAGCCGGCGTACGTCCTACCAACGACAACAGGGATGACCGGCGCCCAGCGAGAAAAGAGAGTGATGCCTCAGCTGTGCGTGGCCGAGATGCGCAGGCGGCGCAGGACCTAGCCGCAGTGCTTGCTCAAGAGAGCCACGCCAACGCGCCAAGCGGTCTCGGGGCAGCCGGGAGCGTGGACACAGCAGCACACCTGTCAGAGGCCAGGCCGGGTGTGGAACGGCGCACTGGTGATGGCAACAGCAACAGCAATAGCTATACGTCGGTGGACCAGACTACCGCAGCCATTGAAGCGCTGTCGCAGAACCCGCGGTCGCGGGGTTCGGTTGTTCCGCCGGGCACGCACGGCTCAGACGCCTTATCCCCGCCTGGCTTTCAGGACGCCAAGAAGAAGCGCAGCAGCATTTTCAAGCGCTTCAGTGTTATTGTCAAGGGTGGCCGCTCCTCCGGCCAAAAGCTGCAGAGCACCCCGAAGACTCGAACTCGCACATTGTCCAGGCCGAGGGCAACGAAATGGGGTACATGGAGATCAGCGTTCACAAAAACGACACCAAAAATGAAGGTGGTGGCAGTGACAAGACTGCCGACCGCGGTGCCGGTGCCAGCAGCATCAGCAGTAGAAGTAGCAATAGTCCACACAATAAGCAGCAGCCGCAGCAGCCGCAGCACACGCCCGATCTGCGCCATCACCCTTCAAATGCTGATTCGGTCGCTGCCAAATCCAAGAACGCGCCTTTAAAGCAGAAATACGCAGTCTTGGACAGCATCGAGGAGGATGTGACATACGCTCGTCTGCGCGATTCAGCTGAAGAATTTAATTCCGGAAACACTGCCGCCGGCGGAGCCTCCGTTAGTGCATCTGCCACCAGCAGCCCTGATGCTGCCGATGCTGCCGACCCAGCTGCGGGCCGCCAGTATTTGACCAAGCCGCTTTGCTTGCAACAGTCGCATGATGCCTCTTTGTTGTACTCTGCTGCCAAGGTCTCTAAGGAGGCAGATAAAGAGACATTGGCTGGCGCCCAGCTCGTATTATCGACGACTCTCCCTGACGCCTCCTCCGCTTCTGCGCCCAGTGCTGCTTTTGATGATCATAGTGTTGATTCTATTGCTAATTCCGCCGCTGCCAGTGGGTCTGGCGCGGGCACAGTGCATTTCGCCAGCCGAGCTGATCCGTCACATTCTCTGGACGACCTCGATGGCACATCTTCGATGTTTACCAACACAGACATTGACGAGAGCGATGCGTTTGTCCGGCAAGCACTGTCGGCAGCCGGTAGCCCGACGTCGTCCGAAAAGGCAGCCCTGCTTGAAAGGGCGCGGCGCGAGATTGAGGGGCTTGATGAGCACGAAGGCGTGGGGCTTCTTGACCAGACCCCCGAGCTCAGCTACCGTGTTGCTGGGCAGACGCGCAAGTCCAACTTTGACGCTAACAAGCGCCGCGCGCGGTCCTCGTCAAACACGGTTGTTCGCGTGCTTAGTGAGATTGTGCGCGACACCTCCAACGGAAACAGCCGCGGCGGTCGCCACGTACCCGGATTCTCTGCCCTTTCCCAGCATCGGGGAGCAAAGCCGACGGCACCCCATGGCCAGAATATAAATAGCTTGGCGCCTACCACAAAGACGATCATGCGCCATAGCAGCACGGGCGCAATTAACCGGACCGGTGGCGCAAACGAGGGCTTTGACAGCTCGCCACCAGTCGGAACGCAATACGTTCTGCATCCGACTGAATCCAATGGCGCCTCGGCTGGCAACAAGACTGTGTTGCCTGACCCTGCGCTTGCGGGCACTGCCGGCCGCCCTGATATATTGCGCTCTCACTCGCACACGAACAGCCACCAGTTCCGCGGGCTTGCGCTGCCAGAGCGGATTGCCGAAGTTCCTGAATCCCCGCCTCCGCGCGAGCAGCAGCCAGAGAATGCGCTACGGATAGGAACAGGCGCTGGTGCGCGCCAGGGTTCAGCAGGCGCATATGCAAGCGATTCTAAGTGCAGCGAGCTGGCTGGCAAAGATTCTAGCCGTGAGCTCGACCAGGGCGGCAACTCTAGCAGGGCTGGCCAGCAGCCGGAGAACACGGCGACAATTTGCTTCAAGCTGGACCCTGAATCTGGACCGTTGTCCACAGACAACGCCTACGCCAGCGCCAACGCGTCCAGCAATGGCGAGGCTATGCGCGATATTGCCAGTGCCCCTCCACGCGCTGACGATTACCTCAAGCCAGTGTTTTTGAAGGGTCTGTTTTCCGTGGCGACGACGTCCACTCGCTCTCCAGCAGCGATCCGTGACAACCTGCTTGGCGTACTGACCGGCATGCCACTTCGCTTCCATGAAGGCAAGGGCTACTTTACGTGCAGCATGGCCACGGCCGCCGGCCCAGCGAATCTCCAAGAAAGCACGCTTGATGCGTACGCGCACGGAGAGCCGACACCATCCAATAATTCTGGCCTGCACAAACACAAAAAGGCATTGCGCCTGCCAGGCGTAGACAGAAAAATAAGCTTCCGCCGGCGGCCCAAGCACATCGATGAGGCTGTGCTTTCTCTGACCACGTCGAGTGTCAAATCGGCTGCGCGCGATGGCCTGTCAAGCACCGACGATGTGCTTCTGGGCTCGCGCCAAAGCGTGATAGAGTCGACCGGCGAAGACGCCAAGGACAACCAACAGCAGCAACTTGCAGCCATTAACGCCAGCACCAACGCCAACGCCAATGCCATTTGCTTCCAGATATTCTTAGTGCGCATGCCTTTGTTGGGACTGTGCGGGCTGCAGTTCCGCAGGGTGTCTGGGCCAGCATGGAAGTACAAGGATATTTGCTCTGACATTCTCAAGCGCCTCAAGCTTTGATCGCGCTTCCCCGCACACTTTATCGGTCCGAACCTGTAAGCTTATTTGATGCGAAGTGGTCCCTGATTTTTTTGTTTTCTTTCTAATTTGTCAAATATAATTCTGTTTTATTTTTATTTTTTGCTCTTCTTATGTTGAACGTCAAGTGGAGGCCGGTAGCTATAATTATAGCAGTTGTTCTGCTTGTACACTTCCTTTTACTCTCACCCTACTTGGAATCGCACTCTTCAGACAGCCGCAATTCTGCAGATGAAAAGGCGAATGCCGACAATAGAATCGCTCTTCCGCACAATGACGCTCTCATTGACATACAGCACCCTTTGCCAGTGACAGTCACCGTCACTCGCGGTGATAGCTTTGTCCCCACAGTGACTGAGGTCATTAAGGAGACTGTTTTTGCCCAACACGACAGGCCTGCTAGTTTGGAAAAGACGAACGCCGCTTTTGTCATTCTGACGCGCAACAAGGACCTGAAGGACCTCCGGGAGACGCTCATTCAACTTGAGGACCGTTTCAACCGCCGCTACAACTACCCCTACGTGTTCCTCAACAATGAGCCCTTCAGCGAAGAGTTCAAGGCCAAGATCAGCAGCGTCGTCACCGGCGACTGCGAGTTCGGCCTCATCCCCACCGAGCACTGGTCTTACCCCGACTACATCAACCAGACGCAAGCCGCCGAGGTTCGCAAGGATATGAAAGAGCGCAAGATCATTTATGGCGACAATGAGAGCTACCGCCATATGTGCCGCTACGAGTCGGGCTTTTTCTTCCGCCACCCGCTGATGGACAAGTACAAATGGTACTGGCGCGTGGAGCCCGGAGTCAAGTTTGCGTGCGAGATCGACTACGACCCGTTCCTGTTCATGGAAAAGAATAACAAGAAGTACGGCTTCACGATCTCGATCAAGGAATATATCCAGACAATCCCTACGCTCTGGGACACCACGATGAAGTTCATGGACGAGCACAAGGACCTCATTCCATCCACCAATATGCTGGATTTCGTCACCAACAAGGACGGCGGTTACAATCTGTGCCACTTCTGGTCCAACTTTGAAATTGGAAGCCTGGACTTTTTGCGCTCTGAAAGGTACTTATCGTACTTTGACTACCTGGACCGTGCTGGTGGCTTTTTCTACGAGCGGTGGGGAGATGCGCCCGTGCACTCGCTGGGCGTGGCGATGTTCCTGAACAAGAACGAGGTGCACTGGTTCGAGGACATTGGCTACTACCACGGCCCGCTGTGGAACTGCCCCAAGGGCAAGGCCAACGACAAGTGCTGGTGCCCCGAGGAGGAGTCCATCGAGGTCAAGAACAAGGGCTGGTCGTGCACACTGAACTTTGTCAACCTTCCCAATCCTTGAACTCTCAAGCGAACAATGATTTTCTGTTAACTTCACTTTATCGTACTTTTTTGTAAAACTTAACAGGCATATTCCTATTGCCTCTGCCAGAGAAACATTATCATTAACATTCGAAGAATGGGGGAGCTCATAACACCTAAAGGAAAGAACCAGACTACAAATATCTAAAAAAATTCAAGTATCCTGCAAATTAACATCCCTCCCACAGATTGAATAACAACCTGAAAAGTGTTTAGAAACTAGTGGCAATAGACCACTATGGTTGCAGATATTATCCAGTTCCCTGCTTCTTTTGAAGAGAAGAAGCAGGAACAGATGGATTTTTGCGCACACGCTTGGTCTTGAACTTTGGCTTGGGCAAGGTCCCAGGTGTCACTGTAGACTCAGGTTCAGCCGACTCTGACGATGCATTTTTGCGCAAAAAACAGGGAGGGCGATTGCTTGTAAACAGGGCATTAAGGATCATGCGAAAGTTTAGCACTGCAGCAGTGTCACAATTACACTTCCGTCTGCCTGATGGCACTTTTTCGCCATTCTTGATCTTGGTTCCGTCAGCCCTGAAGGTTTGCAGGCAATCTTCCATTGTGCACTGGAGCAAGCCGTGGCATAAAATTTGGTGAGGTTTTTCTACTGCTGGAATTGTATTTATGCCTGTTGCGGCTACCTGCCCCTGCTGTGCGGCCAACTCATTGCGCATCATCTGTCTAATTTTGCGGGAAATTTTGCCCTTAACCTAGGCCTTTTCCTCCCCTATCTACCAGACGATATCGGCAGACTCTGGGCGAATAGGCATCCACTGGTCGCGACTCTGCTGCGCACTGTCAATAATAGATGCGGCGTCGGCGGCAGTTTTAGTTGCAACAGAAATGACAGTGGCTTCTGCTGCAACAAAATCAGCAAGGGTGTTTGTTGCGGCTGCAACGGAATTGGATGATGCAGCGGTTGCCATTGCAACATGGTACTTGTGCTTGGGATTCTTCAGACGAGGATCATCAATTTTGTGAACCTTCTCCATCCTGCTCTTGCACGCCGGACAAAACGTTGAAGTGCAATACTCGTCGATCAAATAAACAGTGAATCCCTGAGCTATTAGCATTTTCCGCAGCCCCTTGCCACGAATTGGCTTATGGTGACGGGCCATGCCTGGGTCCAATTACAAAGAATAAGGACTGCATCTGGTCCAGATTTTGCAAGGTCGACGTCGGCACGCTTTCTGTTAATAAAGGAAAGATAGCGGACCCTGCAGTGCAAGGGGTCAATGGAACTGCTGCCGTCATGTTTCCGACTCTTACTGGGGGTCTGCGCGTTGTGTTAATGTTCTCCCAAAACAAAACTACCTTTACGGCACTCAAGTATGTACTCGACATATAACTTGCAATTAAGTATACTGGAGCCAGGGTGGTTAAGCACGTGCTCGGCCTCCTCAACAGACTTATACCAACCATTTGTTTGGGCCTTGGCGAGCTTCATGGGGTCAAGCTGGATTACCTTTTTCATTTTCGTAGATCCATCGAAACACACGTTCACGACGATTATTAGCCTCTGAATTCATGGTATAGTGGAAAATAACTTTCTCACCCTTTTTGTAATTGCTGTTATATCCCAGACAATATATCCCTATGACTAATATCACAGAGAACTGATCTGTCAACAATATCACGAATGACATTTTTAACAAATCATCAATGTATTCGGGAGGAGAAGCTTTCTTACTGTGGGGCACACCATCAGCAAGTTTGCTGTCGTTGTTGTTGTCGCTGTCGTTGTTGTTGCCATTGTCAGCATCACCAGAACCTTTCTTAGACCATACAGTCCTCTCAGCCTTGATACTCTTCCTCTGTGTGTTGGAAGGTGAGTCTAGTAATACGATAATTGAAACGCCATCCGTACGAATGATCCCTCTGAACTTGTGTAGTTTTTTGTCATTTTAAGAATCGAGCAAAACCGGCCAACAAGATATATCACAAAATAGTGACCAAATTTCTTCTGGTGACTTGCCTTCAAGATCCCTCAGACGCGGAATCTCAGGAATCTCAATATCTAGACAAATATTATCCTTGTGCAGCGCTTTGAGCCAGCTCTTTGTGACAGACGGAACACCCCATGCAAGACTGGTCTTATCAATAGTAGTAAACCCTGGTACAACAGATGTCCTCATCGGAAAAGGGAAATAGAACGCACATCTTTGTTGAGATTTAAAAATCGGAAAACCTCAACGAAAACCCCAATGTGGTTTAATGTCTTGGCCACAGAGTCATACTAGAGCCCCTTGTCGCCAAATCTGCTTGGTATCGATCTGCTTCCCGGCTTTGATTTTGATGTTCTTAGCAGACAGTAGATCTCTCTTCATTGTGCCCGCTGGAATTCTGATTTCTTTGCTAATCCACTGTTGTATTTATTTTTTGGTATAACCGCCCTCCTTCGTAAGTGTCTTGTATCGCCGTTCAGTTTTTTCTTTATGTCAAGTGTTATGTCAACCACATGCTTCAACTGTTTGTTAAAGCACCGAGACACATGGGATTTATATGCTGTAAGGATTGACGCACCCTCGTAATTAGCAAAATTGGCCGCACCAGTGAGATGTGGGCACTCAAACTTGATATCCTCGACGAACGTGTACCTGTACTTGTTGATGGGTTTGCCGTTTGCCGTTTTAAGGTTGTTGCTGCATGGTTTGTTTTGATCTCCGAGGTAAAGGGCAATGAAAAATTCCTTAAAACCATTGATTTAGATGGTTGACGATATTAAACCCCTCGCTATCCAGGGCTTGTAAAAAGATACACTGTGCGAGCTCGTATATGGCTGTTGTAACACGGTGGACGGTGACAACATTCTCGCGCATAACTGGCAGAAAATAGTGATGCATTTTGCAGAGACCGAGGAGCGCCTCTATGCTAATGGGCATAAAAAACATAAAAATAAAAAGTTGAATGCGTTGATTTGAAAACAGAGTGTGAAAAATGTAAAAACGTAAAAATGCTTCTAATAATATGTGATTACATGTAATACCACTGTATTATTATATGTATTTGTATTTGTATTTCATTTGTAAAACAAATTCTTCTGTGGATACTTTATTTTTACACACATTTTTTAAAATATTTTTAAAAAACTACTTGGCTTTTTGCCTTTGTTTCTCTAATAAAATGTAAAAATAGATGTATTTGCTTTTTATAATATAATTATTTGTATTATATTATTTATAGTCAGTATTAATGACTTTGCATATTTTTCATGTAAAACCAAGCTTTTTGAGTCACAAATAGTCATTTTGTGTAAATGCATCTGGGCGCACTTTGTAAAGTTTAAGCTTTATGAAAGTGTTAAAAAAACCCGGGTTAAAAAATAGTTATTTTTTGCACAGCTTCCACACCCTTTCCAAATGTATAACGCCGCAAAGGCAATGCACAAAGCTGCGGATAGAAAAGGTAGCCCTTTCCGCTCTAGTGCCAAGATATAATAATGGTAAATATAAATATGCTCTGTTTATTTATTTACATATCAGATAAAAATAAAATGGTTTGCCAATTACTGATACCTTGACAGCATTCATGTATATCCTTTACAACGTCAACCAAGTGGTCTTAATTGCATGTGCAGTTGGCGAAGTGACAGATGATGGCCTGCAATGAACTGCTCGCTCATGGTACTGCCGAGGAGTGGCAAGTGGCATTAAATAAAACTGGTGTAGCCCTGCTTCTCGTACAGTGTGTGCACAAACATCATTGCTGCTGTTTTTGTTTCTAATATTGTCGCTGTTGTAACGATAACCGGCAATGGCAGATGGTGGTGCTGGCGGATGTGGTGGTGAAGTGGCCGTGGGCAGGGGCTGTGCACGGCAAGTAATTTTATTTCATTTAATAAGTTATTTTGCAATACAATAACAATATTAGAAAACAGCAGCAGTACTAAAAAAATATTTATTACACTATAAAATTGGCTCTAAGAAAATAGGATTCTATTCTGGAAGAACAAGGTGGTGGTTTAAATACCCCAACGATGAAAATGGAATCCTATAGAAACGTATATGCAAATCAGAATGCTAATCATTATTGATTTGATCATGGCTCTATCTAATTACTAGTAACATTTTTTAGGCGTGACACGTTAAATAGGGATCTAAATGCGAATTAAACAAAGAAAATATTGGGTTTGCATGACTTTCCATAAATACAAATATTGAAAGCCATGCGGGTTGTTAATGCGCAATGTCGCACACCATATTGCTGGTTATTTTTTTGCTCCAGCTTTTTGAATATCCATCAATGTTTCAAATCAGCTCAACCGAGATTCTGGTGTTAATAGGGTCGTTCTTTATTCTGTGCATGCGGGGATGCTTGGGCAAGCGGGCCGGCAATCGGGCAAGAACGAGGGGTTTTGTACAATGAGGGTTGATGTGTGTGGGGAGGGGGGTATTTGTTTGCAAATGCGGGGCTGATAAATAAGCCAATTTTGCATAGCCAATAAAAGCACAGAACTGGCCTGGTTTTGGCAGACAAATGGCAAAAGGCAAAAGGCCAGAGGCGGAGAAAATGTTTTGAATAGAGTTTCATATGTTTAAAGCATGTGCCATGTGCGTCTCACATTTGCTACTCTGTACATTGAAATGATGGATGGTATCGGTGATTCAGCAACGGCGGAGAAAGACGTGAATTATTTTCAGAGGTTGGTTATTTCTGCAACTCACACAGCACACATGTGCGTTTACAGCCGGTAATATACAGCCTCCCCCTCTTTTTTATTCCCCATGTTATTTGGCGGCAACACTTTGCGTTATCTATGAAATAAAAAGAACGCTCAGTCATTTCATAAAGAAAAAGGTTAACTGAAATAACCTATATAACTAATGGATGCCGCGTGCGCTCTGTTGTCTAATACGTCGTCTTTTTTGATCCCTCAACCATTGCTTTTATAAACACGCCATATTTGGTCTAATAATACTGTTTGCATACTGTGTTCATTTCGTTTTTCCCAGATTAAAGACAGTGCGTATATCAAATTTTCACATATACATTTGCATTTGCACCAGATCCAAATCTAGATACGGTCTTCCATCCATTCATCCATATATCACTTGCCCTCCCTCCTTCCTCCCCCGAGCCAATGTCAGCCTTTCATCCGTCGGCAGAGAGCCTTGCAAGAGCCGCTGTAGAGGCAGGTCTTGTACATCAAGAGTCCGGACGAATGACCGTCCAATTGTCGGTAAAACCAAAGTAAGTATTGCCGTTTCTCTTTATGCTCCATCCCTTGGTCTACAATTTACGTGACCGTTGTGCTAACAACTACAAATAATTGCAACTCACTTTGTAGAAAAAAGAGGCTGAACCACAACGAGCTGGAGCGTAAGGTATGGCTCGTCCCAATCGTGGCACGTTCTTTTATGATGTAACATGCAATATTTTTGAATATGCATTGGTCTATAATGGTCTGTACCTGTGAGTTTTAAAATGTTCTTACTAATATGCACGCTTTAAATTTTTAATAATGCATACGTTTCTTAGAGAAGACACCATCAACGAGAAATTCTTTATGAGCTGCGCGACGTAATCCCTAATCTGCATATGGTAAAACCATCGACTGTATTGATAATGCAAAAGTCCAAAGATTACATTGACCTGCTTCGTCGAACCATCCAAGAGATGGAAATTGAGATCAACGATTTGCGCCGTGCATTGGTTGCCGCCGGGTATCCTCTGCCAATGGCTCCTCACCAACAAGTTATGTGCGGGTTCCCCGGAGGCCAGGCTGTTTTCAACAGCTCCTGTCAGTCGCCGCGCTTGCTGCCGGAGCAGATGCTAAACATGTCTCCCCAGAGCCACATGCAAATCGACCACCAAAACCAGCTGGCGTTCCAAAACTTAGGTGACATTGCTTTGGCCCGCGCGCAATTTGATACGCATGATATCGACAGTATAAACCACCTGCACTCTGTGTTGAGTAAGGCCACTTCAGAGCTCAACTCGGCAACTGGCCGGCCGATTTCTCCTGTATCACCGTATCAGCTTGACCAAATGCAGGGATGCTCGTCAGGGGAATTCAAGAGCCAGTCGCATATTATTCTAACTGCAGCCTCTGTTGCCGCGGCCTCTGGACAGTCTGTATTGTAAACGCATGAATTGATATTAGCAGTTTTGGAAATGTCGCATTTACAGTGAAATGTACTTTTTCGACTTTTTTTTACAAAGATACATGAAAAAAGAAAATGAACAATTTGATATGTGGCATGTCCGACCCTCTTGCTCTGTTAGCTTTTGGCACGCGTCTATTCCGCTAAAAACAAGGTAAACATCTGTGGTTTGATACCTCCAGTACTGATGGCTCTATTGCTTGAACTACCATTACCACCGCTGTTGTTATTGTTACTGCTGCTGCCTCCCTTTTTACTATAATCAATTTTCAACAAAGTAGCCAATTGTGTTTTAGTCAGTTGGTTATTAACTACATGTTGGCACAAATACAAACATTATATTTTTCAGCAGTCGCTGATACGATGCACCATATATTTTAAATACTTACGTGGCCAGGGGGATCGCAACACCGAGGGCAATGGCAGTGACAACCAATACCAGTAGGAAAAGCAGGCACCACTTTTTCTACATAATACAATATTAATGTTAGTGATATGATCTTGTATTTTGCTTGCATTGTCGATTTCAGTTGTTGTTACAAATGGCAAGATTGCTGGTTACAACATACCTTTCTAATTTTCATGCTCAGACGAGTTGCGCGCTTGACTTCGGTAGCTCCTTGAGTTACATACTCATCGGTATTGTCTACCGCCTGCTCAATATTATTTAGCACATCCTGCTGCTGTGCGACGAGCTCTTCCATGTCCACAAACATGCGGTTCAAAAGCTACATTCAAAAGAATTAATATTATTATTGAGCAGTGCATGGTGGGTGGAATAATAAATTTGTGTGTAGCAGTAGCAGTAGCACTTTAATTTTGGTATTGTATTGTATTTACCTCTATTGTGCTGCTGATCTCGCGAATATCCTTATCTC